GGATAAAATGTTACATCTATCCCATTCACTAAATATGATATCACATCTAGCTACTGGCTAGCAATGGAAGAATATATTGCCCCAATACAAGTTCAATCGAAATTGTACTATCAAATATAACTATGGGTGAAATATTACCCCCATTCCAAGTATGATGAAATGTTAACTGTCACATATAACTACAGCAAAGCCATAGATGAAATATTACCTCCATTCCACTCACCAAATATATTATATCTAGCTGCAGGTTAGCCATAGAAATATTTATTATAAGATATTACCCCCATCCCAAATATAATGAAATTTGCACTATGACATTTTAACTTCAGGTAAGCCATAGATGAAATACTATATACTGTAAATTCAGAAATTTTTGCGTGCATTTATTATTGCGATTTTGTCTTTTTAGACTTAAATGCGGTTTTAATTTTTGCGATATTGAGAAAAATCCTGTTCAATTCATATAAAAAATTTCAAAATGCGAGTTTAAATTATTGCGATTATAACCCTGTCGCATTTTTCGCAATAATAAAAACATCGCAATAATTTCTGAATTTACAGTATTCCATGTAGAAGACTTTCCATGGAGGGAAATATTCTTTTTATTTACCACATATCGAGTAATATGAAACAAATGAAAACAACACGTTATTAATTTCATGCGTCCGAAGCGCTTTTCTTGATTTATCTTCATCAAGAACGATTGAAGCCGAATATTTGGAAGCCAAGGATGGATAAGAACCGAAACAGTTGAAGAGCTTTATGACTAAAAAGCACCTAAAAACTATGAAAAAACTATTTTATAAAAATTTTAGTCCAAAATCTTTTTTCTTTTCAACAAGTCCTATGATTTCTTTGCAGATCATTTATTTTCATTAGTTGATAATCAATGAGATTCAAACTTTATGATACATTTTGATAATATTTTGAACTTATAGATCTATAAGGACATTATAAAAACATTGGGATAAGAATATGGAAATGTGTATTGCCGTCGATCGGACAGGATAATATGGAGCCATGGATATTGCTGTCAATCGGACTTGATAAAAATATGATGACATGGGTATTGCTGTCGATCGGACAGGAAAAATATGGAGACGTGGGTATTGCTGTCGATCGCACATGATAAGAATATGGAAACGTGGGTATTGCTGTCGATCGGACAGGAAAAGAATATGGAGATGTGGGTATTTCTGTCGATCGGACAGGAAAAGAATAAGGAGACGTGGGTATTGCTGTCGATCAGACGCCAGAAATCTTTTCTCTTGTTATGTACCCGTATAACTACAGCTAACTCTCGTTGTCTCGAACTCGGTTGACTCGAAATTTCGGATGAGTCGAAGTTTTCCCATGGTCCCGAACTTAGTCTCATATCAATATATGTATTTCGACTCCTGATGAGTCGAAATTTCGGTTTACCCGAACCAAATTTACGGTCACAAAGGTTAACAAAAGCATTCAAATTGCATTATTTATCTCGAACTATAAATACACATATGTCAAAACATGACCTCGGGGGTTTAAATGGATTGAAGAGTTCATCTGACAATACACGTATAATTTTCTGGTCACTGACCACTGTATTGATTTATGACATTCTTTTTCAACGTGTGTCTTCCTAAGATTATATTTGATCACCATGATAAATGATAAGTGATACATTTTATGAAGAATTATTTAAAATGTAAAAAAAACAATTAACCGTAATCATACATTAATGAGCTTGGTTTTGTGATCAACTCAATACTACTCAATCGGCGTCTTTCGTTTATTTTTTGGTTTTTTTTTTCTTGCAGAAAAAGATTGAAATAAAAGAAAATGAAAAGAAATCAAAATATTTTGTAAAATATCTTGTATACGAGAATGAAAAATTTTGTTAACTTTGAATCACGCTGAGATTGATTGGAAATTACTATCTAGGCTAAAAACCACACGAAAAAATTATAACTGTATACAGAAATAAATAAGACACAAAAAATTATATAATTTTATTATAATGATAAAAGACAATCACATATAGATCCATCGATCTCAGACCAGAATATCGATCCCCTACCCATATTCATTTGGATTTATTTTAATTAGCCTTACCAAGCTAAGCAAGAGTTGGTCTATCAAACTTCCTGTAATCGTTTGAGTCGAACTACGGGTAGCTCAAATATTTCTCTGGTCCGGCTGACCTCGATATAACGAGAGTCGACTTTATTTAATCATTTCTAACTTTTTATAAATACCATTTTACGAAATAATTAAAACATCCTAACTAAAAACGTGGTGAAAGTATTCAATGTTAGAATTGGTATCAATTAAACGCCTCTAAAGCAAGAGCATTATCATGGAAATTATACTTTTAACTAGAGTGCACACGCAGAAATTTCTCGCCTGTGTTACTTATCATTGAATTCATGTTTAAAGTCTGTAACATATAGGTTTTACTACAAGTATCACATAAACTACTTAACATTATCAATGTTCTATGAACATGAAGTAACCAAAAGATGAAACCTGTCAGTAGGACATGCACACCTTACAATCATTCCATACACCAAATATAGTTGACCTAATGCTTGTACTTTATGAAATACGGACTTGACCACGTAACTTCAACCTTAATCACTGATCCATGAAATGAGGTCGAGGTCAGGTAACTCTACCTGACGGACATGAAGACGTTGCAAGGAACCCATATACCAAATATAGTTATTATATTACTCATAATAAGTGAATATTTCACTTGACAAAAAAGAAATTTACAAGCAGTCCCTGAAACATAAAAATGAGGTCAAGGACAATGGACATATGACACAGAAACTTCGTAACATAAGGTATCTGTATACAAGGTATGAAGCATTCCGGTCTTCTACCTTTAGAACTATAAAGCTTTGAACAAATAGTTAAAGCCGTCTCCGTCACCGCCGGATTGTAATCCCTATGTCTCGCATTCTGCGACTTTCGTCGCAGGGGAGACAAAAATGGCAATAGTAAATTATGAACACATGTGAAAAAACGAAAAACAATATTTTGGAAGTAAAACCGTAAAAACTACTACTTATTATCTTGAATATTAACACATATTTTATATTAGTATATGACTCAACTCAAGTATCACAGTAAGCGTATTTCTAAGTGGATCAAACAAGTCATCATTTTGATGTTCATTTCTTCCGGAGGTTTTACCCAGTGCAAATTATGTGTGGTCATTTCATGGTATTCTTCTCCAGCAATAATTATGGATTACGAATCATATAATTCTGTGGCAGAAGTAAATGATTTAGAATTTGGAAACCGTATGAAAGACATATCATCACCTAACAAACTTAACTTATACGAAGCCTTAAATCTTAACAAAGGTGATAAATCAACCTATGATGACTTAAAATTTAACCAAAGTACAACCACACATGGAAAGCATCATTCAAACAGACAGTATTTTATGTGGCTTCTTGTTGGCCTTTGTTGTGGGAGTGTATTGTCCGGTGTTATAGTATTTTTCGCTTCAAAGATTAATGACCACCGTATTTCTAAAGTTGAAAATGATGCAGGTAAGCATAAATAGTTAAACTATCTGTCTAATTGGTGTAAAATTCCAGGTCAACCTGTCCATGGATAAGTATTCTTTGAACCTTTCTCAATTCACCAATTAAAAGACTCCTTTGAGGTAAAGTCAAAGAGTAACATTATCAAATTAAATTTATTCTGACCTGATTCAAAAAGATATAAGAGGTTTAAGGGTGCAAGAAAACTCTTTTTTAAAGCTTTCATAAGTTTATTATGTAAAACAGATACACAAGTACAAAAAATATGAACGATACCCTTCCAAAAAATGATCACATTTACTAAAATCTTTAACTAGGTTACCTGCTGAAGTCACTATGATTCATTATATTGGTAACATACTGTGTATTTTCTTTAGATTTCTGTGTTGTTGATTGAGATGTTTGTTTATTTACATCGATATTATTTACACCGATCATATTTACATCGATCATATTTACATCGATCATAGTCCTGTTTATCCTCTTTCGTAAAATAGTTATTAATTTTTATTTCAAATGAACTCATCATAGATACCAGGATTGAAATTTTGTATTTGCGCCAGACGCGCGTTTCGTCTACAAAAGACTCATCAGTGACGCTCGAATCAAAAAAAGTTAAACAGGCCAAATAATCAAACTTATATATTCCGTCATGATTAAGGGTCAGGAAATGCATATGTTCTGAATTGTTATGTAATTGGTAGTGTCATTTATTGGACAAGTACTGACTTACCGAGGCACTGGAGTTCAATCCAACTTTGATTTCGTAAAAAGAAAAAAAATTGGATTTGGCTCCAAGAATTCCGTATCAACGAATACTTTCGGTCTACTTAGAATCGGTAGTCCTCATATTTTTCATTTAAATAAAAGGAGATGTGGGGAAACGTCATTGAGACAAAATTCTGATAACACAATAAGCGTTTCGGACGCATGAAATTTATAAGGTGTTGTTTTAATTTTTTATCGAAACATTCCGTAACTTCAACCGATCTAATGAGCTTCGTAAGGTACATTAGTTTTCACAGTTTCAGAAATTGTTACGTTTGATGTTACAAGGAATGAACATCGACTGACTTGTTTGTTCGCCCTTTTGTTTTATCATTACTTACTTTTTTCTGAAAAATATGACTTTGAGTTTATATTTAATAGTTTTCTAAAGAAAATAACTCATCAAAGATACCAGGCTTATAACTGTGTTCGCCAGACGTGCGTTTTGTCTACATAAGACTCGAATCAAAACAATTTAAAAGGCCAAATTGAGTACGAAGTTGAAGAGCAGAGAGGGAAAACTATTGCGAAACATATAAGGTAATCTACTCCTGGGGTGGAATGTCTTTAGTTTTTTGAAAAATTCAAAGTTTTGTATACAATTAATTTATAAATACGACAATATCAATGATAATTGATTGAAGATCGTTAAATGAAATTTTCCTTTAATTTCTTATTCAGGAAGTAATATATTTGGGTTAAACAGTAGTATAAAGTTATATGAAGACCCCCAGTCGTGGATGGAAGCACAGAAACAATGTGTAAAAGATGGAGGACGCTTAATTGTTTTAAATACTGAAAGCAAAGACAAAATGTTTTTAACGTATGTTAAATTATTATATGGTACGTATATGTCTATTATACTTTGTAACGACGACGAGGTTCAAATCCTAATCCACATGATAGACCATGCTATCCTACATTTAATAAAGAATAATTGTCTCTACCCATAGCATAGTAGTATACCGCTGTTCAATAGTCATCAATCGATTAAGCGAAAACAAATCCGGGTAACAAACTAAATCCGAGAGAAACACATCAACTATAAGAAGAAAACATCGGAACAGCAGAAAAACTGAACTGCAACAAAAACAAACGCCAACCAACATAGAAACGTATGTAACATAGTGTATTCTATACTAGAAAATTTAAAACAATGAATTTAATGAAGATTTCCAAATGAAAGCGTTACAGTTCATCTTACAATGGAGTATAACTGAAGAAAAAAAAATCGCATGTAAAAACAACTACTCGATTTGTTTGTGGGTTTGAAAATGCTTAAATATGTGTCTGGTTATATTTTTGTTTATCTAAACACAAGAAAGCTTACTTAATCAAAATAAGGCAATGTACGCAGCAATTGTTCGTACATATAATGTTAAGTAAATAATATAAAAGGAATTTTATAAATCGCTCCAGAATGTAAACTTAGAGGACGTTTATTCATACAAAGGTTCATTTTCCAATTTTAGACATTTATAGCTTATTACCATGTATTGTTCTAGAGAAATTTTCCATAGGTAACTCGTACATAAATTTGTAATATACTTTGAAATTTGCACTTTCGTTATTTCATTCTTTACATATTCCTATCACAGTTAACTCTCAATTTATCTATCTTCAGATACTTCACAGTGGTGGATTGGTGCGAGTGACAGAGAAAAGGAAGGAACATTTCGATGGGTTACAGGAGACGTTATATCGTATAATAATTGGGGAGCGGCCGAGCCAGATGACATGACAAAGACATTAACCAATGCAGATTGTGTCATCTACATCATCAATAGAAAATATGGAAATTGGTATGATCGCGTGAGTCTTTTTAAAATGTCTTTTGTATGTGAAAAGAACGCATCAAAGTAACAACTATAGTCAAATCATTGTTATGATCAGCTTAAAACATAAACTATCTTATGTCAACAGTTTGTATATTAAAAAAAAATTAACAACTAATTTGATATTATCGTAGTTCAAAGGACTGTCTTCCTGTTTGCGTACATTTTGTAATAATTCGTTGTATCAATAGTTTATGCGTTGTCATTTTTTTTTTCGCTCATGTAAGCAATCATTTTGTTTATTTGTTAAATACTCAGCAACTTTATTGTATTTACACCTTTAATCGTGGGATCTAATGGGAAATAAAACTGTCTGAACGTTTCTTTTCCGTCCACCCGTTCTGGAATTTTGTTTATAATTCCACCTTATGTAATAATGCTGTATTTTGATTGGATGAGAGAAATGGTATTTTTCACAAAGTTTCTCTATATTGAGATTTTCTTTTCTCTGCCGGTGAAATTGTCATTCAGAAATTCCATGTGCCGGGGTATTTCCTAGCAAATACCACGGCAGATGGTAAAAACCATGTCTAAAAATAATGCGACTTCTGAAGACCTCGAGACTTTTCGTTGAGATGGATACAAAGAGCATTCGGTGGAATTTAACAGTTATAGTATGCTTACAAGTGGTATTTGCCAAAAAAACAATATCAGCATATTCCGTGTTGAGAAGATTTCTATTTGACCAGTCCGATATGAGGCGGTTATCTAGGACAAGTGTTTGAGGCAGGCTTAACTTCTATTTGTCAAATAATTTTAAAATCCACTCTTTGGAAGATCTTCAGTCATTTTAATGAACATATCAGATGTCAACCAATTCGTGTTTGCAACTTCAATACTTATTTAATGACTATTTTAATTGACTAAACCGAACATTCAAATGAAAGAATTTGTAAGATATACATCAGTAAGATAGCTACCAAACGCAAAAAAAGAGCCACAGACATCAATAGGTTTTCTACATTACCAAGTGTCTATAAGATATTTCAAGCTCTTAACGTGCCGAAAGTAGAAATTGTGATTAACTTTAACAGAGATTATAGAAGACTTGTCATCAACACAAAAGTCCGGAAACGACAATATAACGAAATCACAATACTTTATTTACGTAAGAAACTAAACGTACAGCTAATTGGATCTACACAATATAAATATTTGAAAATCAATATACATTATAATACAACATATATACATCCATTATTGAATAATGAATGAATGGAGCGAAGTATGGCATACAAACATACTGAGCAAGCATGATGGTTAGCGTAAAACTTATGAAGTGCCGATTATAAATAATGCACTGACCATGAAACCAGTTGATTAAATCTAATCATGATGATTTTTTTGGCCTTGAACACTGAACTATATTTATAGTTTGTACGAAGATGACAATGCCTTTCTTCGTTAAAAGAGAGATAATCATTCACTTACACATACTAATTAAAAGAATTTGTTTCAAATTATACAATAAAAGCAAAAAAAAAAACAAATTCTGACCTCAAATTAATTTTCGACTGACAAGTTCCGTTTTTAAGGTATTTTTTTACAAAGTATGATATTTATCCAATAAGAACTAGTAGTAAGTCATTGTACCCTGGATTCTAAAAAGAACCTCTTTTGTGAGTCCAGTGCATATGATTTATGAACAAAATGATTTGCATGGAATGGACAGCATTGCTTGACTGCAATCTTATTTTCAAACACGGTTTCCAAATACTAATTATATCAATTCAAATTGTGCAGTACATGGTGTCATTTCTCCTTTTACAGTAGCTGTGACAACAAGTTCCGTTCCACCAAAGTAAAAATCTACATGAACATGTCGTCTTTCACTTGTTGGGTTTGGAATATCAACAACAAGCTCTCCTAGTTTCTCACAACCTTCCCCATCAACATACTTTGTACTGTCATTTTCCGACACGTAGACAGCAACTGTTACCTTAGCCTGGTTCTGCTCATACGTGTGATATTCAATTGATTGTGTGCTTCCCACTGCACACTTTGTATTCTTTCTCATTAAAAGATCAAAGACATTTGTACAACGAAACTCTCCATCGCTTTCTACCTTTCGGTTGATATCATGTACCAACTCGTTAAAAATAGGACGAATGCGTCGTCCATATGCAAACCTTGTTACTCTTGATGTAACAAAGTCTGGTGTGTGACCAAATAAAACAGCGCTTTTTAAAACTGCGAGGATCGGTTCTTCGGGCGTTACTATATGTTTGTCTTTAAAAGAATCCTTTATAGCCTCTTGTATTATACTTGATTATGAACATCCTCCAACGACATAGAACGTATCAATCGTTAACCCTTCAACACGTGTGAGTACATTTTCAATTTCTTTCACTATTTTGTCAGTTATGCTTTTAAATTTCTCTTTTGCAAGTGTCATTTGGACCTATAATACATTGGTTTTGATATGAAAATCGTTTTTATAATCAGGTTGACTAACAGCTTCAGAAAATGATCCTTTGCCAAACTTTTTACAGAGATCATTTAATATTTGGTTTACCGTTTGATTAGAAGAAACACCGACATAGCTAGATAATACTATTAATTATCTAATTACTATCACATTTTATATTAATTAGTATTGTAATTTTCATTGTTATTAATAAATGTTATATGAGTATTTTAAACCAAATCTTGAATTCTATCCTAATTCTATCCTATTTTGGGGAAATTTCAGAAATTCAAATGTGACGTCACTTTTTTGCGTTGATCTCTTTGGCTAACTCGGCTGTGAATTTTTATGTGCTGGTTTATGTTGTTTTATGTATCCGTTTTTATTCTGTAGTTAGTCACCACTTCGGTGTTATCATATATACCTATTATATAGTCATTTTTATAAATTTACTGTTTGCAAAAGTATGAATTATTCTAAATACTAGGGATTTTCTTATCCCAGACATATAACCTTAGCCGTATTTGGCACAACTTTTTGGAACTTTTGGTCCTCGGTGCTCTTCAACTTTGTACTTGTTTTGTCTTTCGAACTTTTTTGATATGAGCGTCACTGGTTAGTCTTGTGTGGCCGAAACGCGCGTCTTTAATTTTAAACCTGGTACCTTTTGTTAGCTATTATTCGTATGTTTCTCTGTCCTATATGTTCTCCCATTTATTTGTATTGTAGTCCTGTCATGTAATGTTGTCAATGTAATGTTATATTTAACATTGCCATAAAAGCGGGAGGTTTGGCTAGCCACAAAACCAGGTTCAACCCACCATTTTTCTTTTCTTAAAATGTCCTGTATCAAGTCAGGAAAATGGCCATTGTTATATTATAGTTCGTTTCTGTGTGTGTTACATTTTAATGTTGTATTTCTGTTGTGTCGTAGTTCTCCTCTTATATTTGATGTGTTTCCCTCAGTTTTAGTTTGTAACCCGGATTTGGTTTTTTTTCTCAATTATGAATTTCGAACAGCGGTATACTACTGTTGCCTTTATTTAATGCCGTTAATGGTATAGACATATTAATTGTTGGCTTTTTCCTATTACCAACACCCCTTTTAAATATATCAAGTGCCCTTATGAAATCTATATAATTCAAAATATATTCCTTTTTAAGTCCCTCCATCACATTTTTCCAACGATAGTTTCTATCATTTGCATGAATTCCCTATCGATACGTGTACCTCCGCAGTCATTTCCTGATGCTGAACATAACTCTTCAACTTTGTCATGCATTATCTTCTTGTGTGCTATGATATTTACGGTTCCACCTGGAAAACACATACATTATTTTACTCTTATGAGTGAAAGTGAGTAAGACTTTCTTTTTACTTCAATTCAAATACAATTTAAAGGACAAATTTCACTAAGCTGAGGTGGAAGATACCACAGGGACATTTAAAAATCATTAGTCGAAGAGAAAGTGACAACCCTTTGGTAAAATGTAAAACAAAACCAACGAGATTGCTAACAATTCTTCTACAAAATACAACGCAGACACCAAAGACGAACACCCCTCCCCAAGGTTGATCTCAGGAACTTTGGGTGGTTGAATGATTCTTTTGATTTGATCTTTTTAGAAGTCTGATAAGGATAATTAAATTCTCCTTCGCCCTGCTTGTCCGAATTTAAAGTATTTCTACTCTAAATTCAATTAGTTACAAACAAGACAAACACAGAAATAGGATTAGTTGCTCGCAGTAACATATCATTTTCACTTGCAATTAAATATTTTATTTTACTTAATTGTACAGATTTCTTCAATTCAAACAACATATAAATACATGTAATAAACATAGCAGCAACTGTAAATATACTAATGTGACTAACTTCGATTCGACGTAACTGCGAGCACCTTCGATACTAATACATTTAAAAGCCAAACTTTATATAGTACCATAAAACCCCACCCGTAGAAACCGCCAAAACTTTTCTCGTGCCTTATGCACCTAACATCAAACTTTATGAGTAGTAAGTACTGTTGTAGAACTAGTATAAGAACTTTTATATAGTTCCCATCTATATATAAGTCCTACAAAAAGCAAACGGGGAAAATCCAGTTTCAAACGTAATGAACTATATTGTTCTTGGTTTGTGTTTTAAATTCCAGTATTAGAATACTGACCTCCAATATCGATCACTAAATAGTTTGCCCCTAGGCAAATCTTTGCAATGCTTCTCCCCGCATATTCGTCAATAGTTCGTTCTTTTTTTGACAATATAACGCCGCTGCATCGGGCTCTAAGGCTATACATAGTCTTTTTACTCTGTATACCAGCCTAAAAAAATAAATAAATAAAAAGCGACTAATTATGACTAAGTGTTCATCTTACGTAACTCAATAAGGCCGTGTTCATACCAAACGCTGTGTACTGTAAACCTGTTTACAACATGTACACGTAATTTACATGTACATTAAATAGAATTGAATTAAAAATTTCTCTGTTATCTTTTGTATCAGTTAGGCGTAGACAAATTCATATTTTTTTATTTTTCTAAATTTTTTTTAGATAAATTGTTTATATTATTTTTTTTTAAAGAAAAAAATGTATTTGTTCCAGGAGGGAAGTGAGAAAAATTGTTTGAATTCTTGAAAATGATGTGCATGGGATTCAACATGGAGTTTTTAAAATGTTCCTGTACGTTATTGAACACAAAATGTTTTGTTTATTAAAGTAATAAAAAGAATGGTTTGTACCAAGAAGATGAATGGACGGTACCTTAAGAAAATCGTTCTATTGATTTGGAGAACTTCGAGAGTTCTAAAGTTGTCACGATTACGACTAAAACAGCGTAACAATAGGCGAAAAAAAGGAATTTGAAAATGATTGACTGATTGATTAATTGTTGGTTGATAAACGTCCAGTG